TTCTTACAACAGTACCAAGTTAAATATAAATTTTTTTTCCTTCTAAAACAATATTATAATATTTATAGAATAAAATAAATAACACATAAATAACTCCAGCTTTGTATAATAATACCAAAAGTGTAAATTTAAATAAATTATTAATATATTGAAAATTGTACTAAAACAGAACTTTGACACGAAATATTCAAAATTATAAAATATGGATGGAAAAAGTTTTAGGAAATTTAATAATTTTGAGCTCTTCTATATTTTAGTTTTAACTAGAAAGGAAATTATAATTAGATTTGGTTTTTGTATTTGTGATAGTTTATAAAATATTAAAAATATTTGAAATTTAGTTTTTGTTTGTTTAAATTGTTAGAGTAGATTAAATTTTTTCTGCAATAATATTGTACACAATTTCGTAAATATGAAATGTTCTCGTTTTATAAACAAAAATTACTCACATATATTCAAATATTTGAAAAAAAAGAAAACAAATTGCCCCTGTTGTTTGAGAAAATCATTGACCCAATATTATATTGGAAGAAATCTATCTCTTTCTAGCAATGTTTTTATTCGATGGCAATACTCATACAATAGCAGAACAAATAGTTGCGGCTATGCCTTAAATAAAAATATTTAAAAAAACTTAAATTTCAAAATTGTTTTCAGCGCTAGACCTAAATGAGAGAATAATTTGAGTAACATATACAATTGAGCATGCAATATAGCTTAAAGTTGCAATAAGCCTATAAATTTTAAAAGAACATTGCCTACTTCCCCCATATGTTTTACCATTTCTCTTTGATTTTGTACTTTGTTTTTAAAAATACCAAAGAAAAATTTCATTCGAAATATAAAAATTAAAATTTTAGTATTTTCCGAATGAAATCACGTTTAGCCAATTTTAAGTTAAATATATTTCAAATTTAAGTCCTGTAAATAAGAAATTTTCTTCTATGTTTAGAATTTGAAGTGAATGCTTAATAAATTTTACGATAATCAAAATCATAATCAAAAATAAATGAGAAATCGTAAATTGTCATGTATTTTATGATTTTACATATATATATATATACATAAATTTGTATTAATGGTCGTGTAGAAAAAAAAAAATGAGCCAATTTTAAATAATGGTTCTTATATATGCCAATTTATTGGTATAATATGATAGGTATTTCAAAATAATGAAAACATTTATTAATTTTTTCTTTTTGATTAAAGAACGTGAATGCATTTAGTCTCAAAATTTAAGAAAATTCTTCATATATTGTTTATTTCTCAAAAATTTTCGTAAAAGATGGACTTTGATTTAAATAGCACTCATACAATATAAAATATGCGCTCATACGCGGCAAATTGTAATTAAAAGAGTGATGGTGATGGTCGAAAAGCTCATGCTTTATTCAATATATAAGCATACGAGTACCTCCTATGGGTGCAGTTAATAACAGTCTGCGTGTTAAAATTTGTTGTATAACTATGGTATAAATGTTATGCATACATTATTTTATACATTACTATTACATGCATGTAATATCCTTAACGTGTTATTTTTTTTTAGTTTTACTTAACGTGCAATAGAAAACAATTCATGTTCAGTACATTTCCTATTTCAATAAAGTAAAAATTAAGTACCATGTTTTAAAATTTCTACATATTTTTTTTTTTTCAAAAATTACAAAATTATAATATTGGGAAAAATTAGAACAAACATGGTAAGTAAAATCTTTATAGACACAGAATTTGTTTTGTCTGAGTACTAAGCCTCGAATCCATTCACTTGAAATATGTCCGCGTGCATGTTTCAAAATTCATTTGTTTTACATTGTTTCCTTTGTTGCAAACGTTATACTTAACTTTATCAAAATTAAGACTAGTACAAGAGAACGGAATGCTTTTAAGATGCAATAGCTTCGTTTCAAAAAGGTCTACAAAGTGTCTAATCATATTAAATATTTTCAATGATTAAAATCTATTATCAAGTTTTAATAAGAACATGTTGCTTTAATGTGCCTATACTTGGGCTGCATTGTGTGTTCCTATAACTTATAATAAAATGTTTCTTTGTATGACAATTGTATAAACAATTGTGAAAAACTTCGAGTTGATTACAAAACTTTTAAATCAACAAAACACATTGATTACCATTTAATTACAAATACAGTGATATTTTCTACTTAATATTTTAAGTTATTAAATTTTACTTGTTGTTATATCCTTAAGGAAAATGTTAAATGGTATCTTATATACATGGAATTAAAATTTAATTCTAGAGATACTTGAAAAGTTTCTCCAAAAAAATTTCAATTAGTTTTTATTCTTTTTTTTGTTCATCATATTATTTTAATCTCGTGCCAAACATTTTAAAGAATTCATTTTGTTTTAATATCCTTTATACATTTGTGTGAAGATACTTAATGGGTATCTAAAAAACTAAACCAATATAAGCAGACAACAAAAATTTTCGAATCAACTAAAATCTTTTTTGGTTAAAATCTACAAAACTTAACAATGATTATCATTTCTTCAAAATCATTTTTAATTTAAGTTGAGGGTTTTTGGAACTTCTTAACATAAAATATAAGAACAGAACAAGAAAATCGTTTTTATATCGTTTTTACGTGCGTCTCTCAAACATCTAAATTTTCTCACATACAATAACAATTTTGTGAAACATAGAAATTTTTGTCATGATTTTTCTTATTTTTTGGCTTAATAGCTTTTTTTGCTTTGGAAATATTAAAGTGTGCGAGAAAATTTAATAAAATCGATTTGGTTATAAAAGCATTTTTTGTTGGAAATTTGAGTGGAAAACATGAAAATTGCAAAATAAAAACAATAAAATAAGAAATAAATAAAAAACTTAGCTTTAATCGTCCTTTTGGCCTTTAACTATTGAAAATAAAACACTAAAATAGAATGGAGAATTGAAAAGAGCAAACGTGCATAGTTTCTCATCCTTCGTCAAGTATGGGTTATTGTGGCTGCTATGATATGTAACAGTAGTTTTTAACATACGTTCGTCAATCAATAGTTGTCTTATAAATTTAATTAAATGAATCTGAACTATTACCCATATCTACTTTTCCGATTTGTTTTTTCTTGGCATAATAAATTGAATTTGCCTAAGAAAGAATTCGAAATTTTGGAATAACTTTAATTTCAATATGAATGACAATGACTTGATCTCACTTATCTTAGAAATAAATTCCTTTTTGTATTTTTTTGTTATTTCTTTTACCGTAACGTTTCAAATGCTGCTATAGCGATTTGAAATTTCATCTTCTGCTTCTCCATCTGTTTTTTGTCATCATCAAAACTAAGGCAATTTAGTTTTGCTACTGCATCTCAATGTATATGAAGAACAACAAGCCAATGTCATTTCGTCATTGCCTGTGTAATATTCCACAAGTCATATTAAAGACCGAAGTTGTTTAATGAATGCGCTTTAATACTTTGGCTTTTCACTTTGGCTATAACATGCACAATTTCATTAATGTTTCATTTAAAATTAAATGAGGTAATGAATTTACTATTACAATATGTAGTTGTTAAATTAATAAGTAATGTGCTTATTACACTAATAATATTAACTTAATGGAAATTTTTTCATATAACTGCACAATAGATGGATGACGTAATCAAAGGAACGAAGTAAAGGCAAAAAAATTTAAAAATTTGTTCAGCAGTTGCATGAAGAAATTTCCATTAGTTTAATACTAAATGAGATTGTTTTAGTGCCGTAAATATCAACTTGAGTGAAATTCTTATTTCGTGCGCCTATGTGATGTCAATAAATTCTAAGCATATCAAAAAATTATGATATGCTTGTTATTTGATTTAACAGTGACTTATGCAATATTTAGTGCCATAACAAAGTGTACCATAAAATTTTAAGTGCCATAACAAAATTAAGAAATATTTTAAATTAATAGCTCTTATATAAACTTTTAATTCGGATTTGACTGTAAGTTAAATCTGTATTTTAATTTCAATAAATTTTCACTTAGATTATATTTAAGCAGTTCCCGATTCTTTTAAAATCTATTTCTTATTCTAATTAAGAATAATTGTTAACGTACCATTGTAATGAATTCATCTAATCAAATATATGAAAATATTGTCGATAATTCCTTTGATTTATTTAAGAAACTGCAAGATCTGATAAATTCTAATAATTAAAGCTACACTTCTTAATATGTCCAATGATAAATATGAATGATTACAATCTATTTTTTTCATTTGCAATGAATTAGAACTAAATTTATTGGTATATAAAGCTTATAAGATGAAATACAGAAAATTATAAATTAAGAAATGAATAGTGAACTTTTATATTAAAATGTTAGAAATTCATAAAAAAAAAAACAAATTGTATTTAATCTTCTAAAAGACCATCTTCTGTAGGTGGATGCATAAAAAAACATCCAATATGTTTGTTCTTTAAAGAAGACAAAGAGACAGGGAAACAAACAAGCAAACTAAATGTGATTGAAATTCAACATTTCGCATATAATAAAAATTTATTTTAGATTTTTATTTAGAAATAAATAATTTGCTTTAAGCATCACTTTGAAAAATTTGTCTAGAGAGAAGAGAGAACAAAGAGAATGAGGCATTTATACATATACACGTATACCTACTGATATAATAAGCTCTCGCCATTCATATTATTTTGTAATTGTACATGTGTTTGAATCCTTAAAGGACATTAGTAATATAAATAGCTATTTTGTTTTGTTTTATTGTTATTTTTATTTTCGTTTTCGTATTTTTTCGCTTTATTATCTTTTTTATTTATTTTTCTTTTAGTGACTTTGTCTTTTTGTTTCTTTTAATTAATTTTTAAAGGATCTTTTGGCAAAATTGTATTTCCTCGAATACAAGTTAATTTAATAATTTTTTTCTTGTTGTTAACGAATTTTTAAAAGAGAAATCATGTTTTATACAAATTTTGTTTTTTTGTTTTCAAAATTTATTTTATTGTCCCCTTTTGTATATTTTTTTTTTAGGATAATTCAACAGAAAAATATAAAAAAAAAATCTTATTTTTATTTCTTTTCTAATAATAATATTGAAATGTAATAAATAAAAGTAAATAAAGGAATAAAAGCAAAAGAAGAGAAAAAAAGCAAAATTCCAAAAAAGCTTTACCTTTGTATTAGTAAAGTACAAACAAACACTTAAAACATAAAGAAGTTGAGAAAAGGAAACAAAAAAAAAAAAGAAAAATTGCCGTGTATATGAAAGCGAAACAAAGGTAAACAAAAAATTCCTAGGGCCTTCAATTTTCCGGTTTTAAAAACGGAAATACCAAATACATATATATACATATGTATATGTATCTTAAGTTTTATATATATTTGTAATAATTTATATAAAACGGAAATTATATTTAGGAAAAAGGTAAGTGTTTAAAAACATGCTGCACATTTTTCATCCATTTAATTTTATTTTATCCAACAATATTGTGTGACAATTTCATTTGTGATCATGTTAAGTGGATTTTCATTGCATTTAAAAAGAAATTAAATCTTTTAATCATATTTATTTATGATTTATCAAAAATTTTAAATGAATGGTGGACGAAAATAATCAAGATAATAACAAAATTAAAGAAAATGAATCATGGGAAATGCGACATTCAAAAGAACGCTAAAATATGCTAAAATTTTTACTAATATGCACCAACAAGTCTCAAATTTTCCAAAAGTTTTAAGGAAATACAATATAATTGAATTCTACAAGACTGTGAATCGGCAATGCTAAAATTTTCTAAAGTATTGAAAGCGTTAAAAAATTTGTATTTAATCATATTTTGCTTGCATACGTTTAGGAGGAATATTTAAGAAATAATTTATAAATAAAAATAAAAAGGTTTTTGTAATGCGGCAATACAGCAAACAGATAGAAGTGGTGAATGTAATTTTGCCAAACAACTGCGGCCTAAACTAAATCTGCATTATTTAAAGAACGGGATGTCTATTCTTCAAAGAGATATCGTATTTGCAATAAGGGCTCCAATGTGGTTTTGTCTAATTGGCAAATGTGCCAGGAGGGCCACCCCATGGATGATTTCACAAACACTGCTGTAATGATGAAAGTGAGGTAACAGACTATAGCCCATTTCTTTTTCCTGGCAGACTCGAGCGAGCAAGACCCAGCCCATTGTTATATAGCTCTGGCAGACTTTTGAAATAAAGTTTTAGACACCAATTCAAAGATTTGCTTTTACTAACTGATATTTAGAGAAATATCTGAAACTTTATTAATATGATAATAACTTGAGCTAATTTAAGGGTTTATGGTAAGATAAAAAAAAATTAATATCGTTATGTCTAAATTATTTTTGGCGCATTGTGTTTTATTGAAAAGTTCATTTCAAACCGTATATACAAAAAAAACCACCAAATGCATTTTGTGCTTTTACCTTTAAATCAATAAAATAAAATTTGCTTCATTGCAAGTTTAAAAAATCAAATTGACAGATCAATAACGCGATGATTCTCTAAATCTAAACAAAAACAAATTAAAATACGTAAAAAAATTTTAAAAGTGTTTTGTCAAAATTTTTAAATATTGAAGGTCAACAAAAACTATGAGGTTATGTCATTGGTTTTTGTTTATATTATATTATGTAATAATTTAAATTCATTTTGGAAATTTCTCTAATGTTTTTGTAATTACCAATGTTATTTAATAAAAAAAGTGAAACATCAATTAGGATGTAGGTTCCGAAATTATTTTGTAAAATAAATAAACATCTAAGCTAGAATACACGGTGTTACATATATTTCTATAGAATTTGAAGGTAATAAAAATTAAAAATAATTCAGAAGTTGCAAATACTCGTAATGCAAATGTTGATATTGCCACATGAACTGGGTGAAGTTTATTGACGAATCACGTTCTAGACCTTCAACTTTGGATTTGGTAACTAATTAATGAAGTAGTTTCTGGAGATAATAAAGTCTTTACAGATTGATCTCACTTCCTATATGGAAATTTAGCTTATTGCCAAACTCATTACGGCAAAAAATAAGCTTCATCCTGGATGAGCAGAATTTGATGATGAAAACAAAAATCGATAATTTATTTTTAAATTAAATGTACGAGTATGAAATATTTGGACATGGGGCACTATACAAATACCAATAATACTATCGTTTATTTGGTAAACAAAATGAATCATAATTTCAGAAATTAGCTAAATGTAATTTAAGTAGATAATTATAGTAGTTTTCATAAACCAAATAAGATTATAAGTAAATAAATAGAAAATAGAATTCACTTATGAGTAATCAATAGAAATTTCGACTAAATATACATTTGTGGTGTATTGTAATAAAAAATAAATTAAGAAGAAATGTCAAAAAAAGAAGAATTAACCTCATACCAATTGTATTTGAGCCACGTATATTTTAATATTTTAAGTGGTGTTTATTGTAAGGTGATATCATTGGAAAAAGAAACTTGCTATGGAAACCAAATAATCACATTACGTAATTTTTCAGCTTGTTGTCATATTCCAACACATTTTTGAGCTCTTTTAAAAATATCAATTGCTTTTACTTAAAATTATTAATTTTTCTAACTTAGGTAGAAACGACTCCTAGTGAATAACTTATTTCATTATTTTATGCCTCTCGAGTATTCACGTCTTACTTTATGAAAGAACTATAAGTGATTGGAGGTCTCCAAATTTTGCTCACAAGAATATCATTTCCGAGCTTGCCCCACCAATTTATTTATTAGCATCCTCCTCATACTAGAACTATTAGATATTATTCACCTTATTTCACCTATACCTTAATCATATGTATTAGTTCTCTACCATCAGATATTCAGCCACCTATTCAAGAATGTTTGCAGTTTTTTCATGTTATTTTTTCAATAGCATTTCTTTCTTAATTCTGGAGAGCAGCTTAAATTTATCATAGGCAACGAATATTCTAAAATAGAGCATTTTTGTCAATTCTTCTTTTCTTAAATTTTTACATTTCTTCGGTTTAAATTTAGATTTAAAAAAAAATATCAAACTGTATGTATAATGTATGTATGAACATAGGAGTATGTATACCCAGATTTCCGATTGTCAGATTTGAATATCGTTAATTTTGTTTAACTGATTGACTATGATCTTATCGTTATTGAGTTACTGCAGAAATATGTACGCAAAGAAAATACCGAAATTAGATTTGCGTTAAGAGAACTGACAATTGAAAATATTTTTGAAATTCTTATAATAAATTCAATCTGTATAATATGCTTTTATAAATAAAATTTTGAAATGTAAAAATTTTAAGGTTTGATTTAAAATAAAAATCAATTTTTATAAGATGAAAGTTCAAATGTTAAAATTGTAAACATGACGTTGATAAGCTTAAACAATTCGTTTTTTTTTCTTGTCATTGCAATAAGAAAATACTGACTCAACCGCGTCATTAATATTGGGTTTTCATTGAATATGAAAAATTAAAGACAGAAATATTTTTATATCCATCTCTCAGAGATTTTAGATTAGCAAGAATAACCTACCGCCAAACATTAATGTACCACGTAGTTAAACGGTTTAATAACCTTCTACTCAAAGTCTCGGCTTCTAGAACTTATGGAATTTCAAAAGCAATTTATTAAAATAAGGACAAATTTATTTAAAATTTCAATAAAACTATTTTATTGTATTAAATCGAAACTATAGAAAAGCTGATTAAGATTTATTTACGGTATTTAAATTCAATATAAAATCAATTCTAAAACAATGCAGACATTATAAGCAATAATATTAGTTTATTGAAAATGGAATTAAAAAAAATTAAATAATTTAATGACCTTTCTTCTTGCATAGGTTATCGTAAACAAAAACGAGTAAACTTACAAAAATCTTATTGTTTGTAAAGTAGTACTTTACATACTTTACGATAACTAACTCAGGAGGCGAACGAGAGACTTCTCTCACCATCTAAGAAAAAGACGGTGTTAATATTTGAAAAAAAAAACGAGTGTAAGATAACAGTTAATTTGAACAGTCATTTTGCCATTGTAATATTTAACTTCTTGTTGCCTCACGATAGCAGAAGAAAGTTGCTGTTTTTCTGCATTTGTGGGATTGAAAAAGTTTTTGTTTTGGAGAAGCAAAAAAATGAATTCGATACAATAAGCGGTAAAAGATATCATTTTTAAACTTTTGAGGGGTCATAATCTTTAAAAGGAAGGTGAGGCGAAAAATTTCTTCTAATGAAATAGATTTTTCCCAAAGATCTATTTGTTTCCAAAATTGTTGTTTTCTTTCTCAAAGGGTGAAGATGTTTTGTTAACCAGCACACGAATAGATGGACGAATGAACAGAGAGAAACTAATAAGTACTTTTATCAATTTTTTTTTAGAAAAATGCTAAAAAGAGAATTAGCTAAAAGATAAGCCATTAATTTTAGAATTTAGAAGCTTAAATAAATTCGTGCAAGTGATTAAAATTTTTACTTTTATTTTAAGACCATATTTTTACACATGCTGTTTATAAAATGCGAAATAACATTCTTCTTATACTCTTGTTCGTTATGAAAAAATGCTAAAATTATAGAATATATTTCGTAATCCAATTGTAATGTACTTAGTAGAATGGTACTTAGAAGAAAATTTTAAAATATTAGATTTGAGTGGCTATATTTCGAAATTGTTAATTGATAAATTAAATAAATACTGAAATTTTTCGAAATTCGAGGTCAAGTGAACTTCATAACATATGATTGTGCAAACTATAGTCTCTATAAATAATTTAAAACTTCCCTAACCCTATTCACTATTATTCACTCTATGCCATGCAAATGAAATCGCATAAAACAAAAAAATATCAGTATCAAATTTATCAAAATGTTTTTTGTTTTATTGAAAGACTTTAAAAATGGAATGTATATGCATTCTTTATCAGTATTACCATATGTTGATGAAAATTATCGAAATATTTAAGAACAAAATATGGATGATTTCTTTTACATACGTTAATTATGTATGAAAACAATTTTAAGAAACACCGGGTTATCTTATCAATAATTCGGGATCAATTATCAATATTTTTGATTAGTCAATTTTATAGAGGCCCTTTACTAGCCTATTAAAGCTAATCGTGTTTTGTAATGTAATGGAGGTGGTGAGGGCGATTTTCGAATGCTTCTAACACACTATTTTCTTGTGGCAATAAAGCAGTTGGTTAACGACAGTTAACAGAAACTTTCCAAGAATAAAAATTTTCCTATGACGAATATAACATAGAATCTGTGCCTTTATCAAATGTTTCAAGAACTTTTTGTAAATTTGTTTTTGGCTTAAATATAAATGTAAATTAAATAACTTTTTAAAGAAAATACTTTTAAATCGAAATTTAATTTCAAAATTGGCAATATAAATAT